AATACTTCTAGTTTATGTACAATCTTCAACTTCTAAATACTCCTAGTTTTTATACAGTCTTCAACTTCTAAATACTCCTAGTTTTTATACGGTCTTCAACTTCTAAATACTCCTAGTTTATGTACAGTCTTCAACTTCTAAATACTCCTAGTTTATGTACAGTCTTCAACTTCTAAATACTCGTAGTTTTTATACGGTCTTCAACTTCTAAATAATCCTAGTTTATGTACAGCCTTCAACTTCTAAATACTCCTAGTTTTTATACGGTCTTCAACTTCTAAATACTCCTAGTTTTTATACAGTCTTCAACTTCTAAATACTCCTAGTTTTTATACGGTCTTCAATTTCTAAATACTCCTAGTTTTTATACAGTCTTCAACTTCTAAATACTCCTAGTTTATGTACAGTCTTCAACTGATATACAACAGTTGTGTTTGAGTATTAAACTTGTTGAGAAATTAAACAACTAAGGAAATGAAATTCAGTGGGTTGGTTTGCTGCTAAAACTTTATCTTTTTATGTAATTTTAGTTGTGTAAAATACACGATTATGTCAAACTATATTATGATCAAGTGTGAAATTGGTTTGTTGCTGAAACTTTATCTTTTTATGTAATTTTAGGTGTATAAAATACACGATTATGTCAAACTATATTATGATCAAGTGTGAAATTGGTTTGTTGCTGAAACTTTTATCTTTTTATGTAATTTTAGGTGTGTAAAATACACGATTATGTCAAACTATATTATGATCAAGTGTGAAATTGGTTTGTTGCTGAAACTATATCTTTTTATGTAATTTTAGGTGTATAAAATACATGATTATGTCAAACTATATTATGATCAAGTGTGAAATTTTGCAATACTTCAAAAGTAATTTTTTTTTATCAAGATATTTTTGGGTATTGGAAAGCTTTGGAGCTTTTAAATGATGTATATTATGACTGTAATGGTACCAGTAGATCTAGATACACTGTTTAGTTTCTCACTATCTTTTTTTTACTGTTTATTAACCTTGTATATAACATATCATAAAATATATTTCTAAACCTGAAAATGTTATTATTGGCAAGACTTAAAGGATACTTTTTGTGTTTGTTTCTTAAGCCTGGCCTTACCATTCATGGTGTGCCTCCGGCACCAAACTTGTTAACACAGCCTCCACCACCACCACCTCCTACAACACAACCAACTGTTTCTACAAGTGTACCATGGATGAATCCTCAACACACAACAGGGTCTCAAGGTATTGATATTTTTATTGTTTTCTCGTGACTATGTTTAACAGACTACAAGACTTGCAGGTGCATTTCACACTTTTAAATTGATTTCTTGTAAGAGCATCTTTTATGATGATTACAAATTAATGTAGAATTATTATATTTTTATTTAATAGCAGTAGATGAATACTAAAAAAAAAATTAAATTTTATGAGTTTCCACAGGTTCACAAAACAAACAAACATGTCAAGAAAAAAATACTTCT